CCGAGACAAACCAGTTTGCAGGACTACAAATGTAGACCAAGCACCGAAACTGCAGAAAGGGCCTGGCGTGAAGCGAGCTGTTTTTGTAGGTCAGTGGCCCACCTGGGTGCAGTGAGAAACGATTGACACAGTCGCCTGCCACAGGCGGAAGGAAGGGGCCATCAGAAATGATTGCCGGTAGCTCTTGCAACAACTCTCATAAACCCTACACCTTAGCCTTAAACCCAAAGTCCAAACCCGGTACGTGGAAGTCGGAGCAGCGAATCACAGCAGACCAAAACGCTTCTGAGCCGATTGCTGGTCGAGCGCTTCCTTGGAAAGCATTCGCAAAGGTGAGCGTCAGGCCCAGGGCATCACAACACCGAATATAGGGGCCTTTAGCAAGTAGAGTAGGGCTTTGGGGTGTGGCATAATATGTTTAATACAAGGACGATCAGGAGCTACCAATAAGTGCTCGAAAACCATTATTATGCTGCGGCTGCTTCCCGGTCACCACGGGGTGCTGCACCCAAAACCTTGAACACTGCACCATGAGTTCGCGCCTTAAATCCTTAATATACAAAGCCCACCCCCCCCCCCCCCAAACCCCTGACAACCCTGAAGCCTGAAGCCCTTCAACCCTAAACCACCAAACCCTTAAACTCCCTACGCCCCAAGTTCAAGCCCGAAGCTCCTCAACCCAACCGCCCCGTAAGCTTCGTTGCCCCTGCCCAAGGCCCAGGCTTCCCGCTCCTCGGTCAGCGAAGCCCTGGGAAATCAGATTCGGTGGGGGTTCCTTATAAATCTATATAGAACTTCTATAAGTCTATATATGTTCTATAAGTCTATATGGTTTCTTCCAAGGTTTTTTTGTGGAGAGAGAGCGATGGCATGCTAGCACGATCTTCGAGCTGCAACTCTGGGAATGTGATGACGAAGATTTGGGTGTAGGGCTTGGGGTTAGGGTCGATGATAGTGATGATTGTTGCAGTCTGCTGCTTTAGGCCTGCTGTTGAACAAATTTTGGGTTACACCCTTAAGGCTTTTCAAGGAAGCCGGTTCGAGCTGCGCATGCTGCTACATGCTGCAGATTTGGCAACGGTCCAGCTCCTGATGCTGCGTGGAGATAGCGCCGTTAAACAAAAAGTTTTGCATGAATGCTGATATTAAGATTATAAGTTCAGATGATATTGATGTGTGTCTTTGATCGCTCGGAGAGTAGGGCAACTGCTCTTAAAGATGCCCGAGAGACCAATATTGCAAGAAATGTAAAGCAAGCCTAGTGGCAAGAATAGAACCTGCAGAAAGTTAAACGGATACATGCAAAGCTAAGTCAAACTACTGCTTTTTAGATGATGATGATGGTGATGATGATGATGATGGTGATGATGCTGATGATGATGATGATGCTGATGATGATGATGATGATGATAACAAGAGTCATTTACGGCGTGGATTCTTGGGGGTGCAAACCGTACAAAAACAGCAGGAGCTGAATACATAGCTTACGAACACTTTAAATGTTTTTGCTATTATGTTTTACTGCCTTCGGCTATGTATGTTTATTGGTTTTGTTTGCAAAATACTAATCTTTGTGGTTTTTCACGCGGTGTACCCATATCCTAAACGCAGGGTGAGTTTTATTTGCAATGTTGTACATCTATCAGCCACCAAAAAACAAAAAAAAGCCGGAAAACCACAGAAGCTTTGTTTTACTTGTGCTGCTTTGGCTCTGCTTTGCAATCCTCCGTCTTGTTCCAGGCTGTTCTTCTTGTGGTGAACAGGAGACTCTATTCTGAAACACGGGCCTTATTGTTTTAGAACGGCGGTGCGGGATAGCAGTTAATAGATGGAGAAAGATCTGCTGTGGCTACCACTACTTGAGATCCTTCAAACTACTGCAGTACACACCACAAATGTCCCTTCTGCAAGTATTTGGGCAGTGCCGTGGGTCGGGGTTGTATCAGATTATCAGGAACGTTTCGACTTTTTTGCTAGTTGAGAACCACGGGAAAAGCGGAAGAAACGATGTTTTGCTGCCAAATGACTGGGGTAGCCCTTCCCAGGCTTACAGAAGCCTCAACTCTGGCCTGGATCAGACAAGGACAAAACTAAGCCAGCAGCTTGACAGCCTTCCGGAGTTCGTCATCCTCCTGCAATAGACGGCGCAAGGTAAAGCAACACCTCTTGTAGCTTTGTGACAAACGCCGGCTGACCGAGTTCCATTAACAATTACAGGCTTCACCTCGCCTGGATTGTACAAATGATGACAAGAACGACGACAATGATGATTTGATGGGCGATGACGATGGTGACGAGTTGGTCGCGAGATGATCAAACTGCAGATATCATTCTGCTGCAATGCTCATGCTGCGCATTGTTTACGGGAATGCACACGCAAGGATGATACTACGGCGATTGATTATGGTGATGGCGATGATGCTGAGGATCATGATGGTCATGATGGTGACGACGGCGACCATGGTCACGGTGACGCTGCAAACGACCAGGATGATGATTCTTCTGGGGACAAGGACGGTGGCAATGATGATGCGGTGGAGAAGAAGGACCTCACTGGCACCAGCACCGCCGCCGCCACCACTGCCATTGGAACCAACAGTGCCCCACAAAGACCGCCACCACCACCACCACCACCACCAACGACAACAACAACAATCATTTCTAACAACAACTACTACTAGTTACTAGTACTACTGCTGCTGCTGCTGCTGCTGCTACTACTACTACGACGACGACGACGACGACTATCAGTACTACTAGTAGTAATAATTCTTGAAACAAACATGTCACATGTGCGAGTCAATACTCTCAGAGTCTGGAGTTGAGCAGAAGCTTCTAGAAGTAGACCCCCCCATCGGCCTTGATGAGCTTCTCGACATCTCCGGTGTTCTTGTCGGCCCCCGCCGCAAACAAGCGGGCAACCTCAAGCTCTGATAAGAAAGCTACGTTTAGGGCACAGCCAGAGATGAATGGAGCACGGAGCAACTGCAGACCTTGCCGGGAGAGACTTGCAATAGCGCTGCTTCAGATGCTGCGGGATCCTGCCTGCGTGCGACTTTCGAGCAAGTTCCAGTATGCGAAAGCACGTGGCCATGACAACGGTGTTTCCGGTCCGCTTTGAATGATACAAAGGAGGCATGGGAAGCAAGCGATAGTGGCACTGTCAGGTTTTGCCGGCCGGGCTGATGCCGGACATGCTTGGCGCATGGCAATAGCTCTGAGCTTTCCTGGCACAAGGTCTTCGAAGTTTGCACTTTCCTCGTCTGCAAGCATGAAAGAAAAGAACCGGTCTGGACCGACCGGAAACTGGAAGAGCTGCCATGATCCCCGACGACTTCTTTCTACACGTCCAAGAATGCAGATCCAACTTGAGCTGAGTTGTCAGGGTCCTGGAAAAGCTACACGGCTAGAGGATCGACGAGACAGCCACCAATGGTACCATCGAGGTTCTCTCCCAATGCTACCGTCGAAGTGTCCTGCAATGCTCCTAAGAGAGCAAGTATTGGAAAGCCTGTAGACACGAATTAAGCAGGGGTGCTACTGCCTGTCTCTGCTGGCGGGTACCGGGCCTTTCCGCGAGGTGATCTCTTCTTGGCTTGGCCATGGGAAGGATCGGAGTACCTGGGGTTCAAGCTTTGACCACGAGTTTGACAATCAAAACAAGGTTCCAAGGTGTCGTCGTTGCCGTTGCTGTCGGCGTCACCACGTGCTGCTCCTCGTCCTCCTCCTCATCCTCCTCCTCGTCATCAGCATCATCAGCATTCCCATCGTGATCACCGTAACGTAATACTCGCAATTGCGCAAGAAAGCATCAAGGGTTACACTGAGCGGCCACGGAAATCGTAAATAGGAGTCAACGGTTTCGCTTTATGCCTTGCGGGGATAAGCCGGACTCCAATCCCAGATGTCATGCCAGATGGGCTGAAACATCAGCGCCATTTCCCATCCTTTTCGAAGAATCGAAGTGTCGGCTCCTGTCGGCTCTTTATAAAATGAATTAATTACAGCAGTCATCGTCTCCAAGCTTCCACCCGTTGCTCTTGCCAGCACAGCTAGCCAGATGGGTAAACTGCATATCACAGGGGCGCGAAGCTTGAAGAAGAGTCCATAGCTGACATGTTGCGCATCCGCAGCGCGGCGAATTGCACATCCTAGACATGTATCATCATGTATCTATGCACAATCACGGAAAGCTGCAGCTTCCGTGCAGTAGGAATTCAGCACCAAGGCTGGAATCATCCCCTTTAGGACGCCCTGGTTCAAGTATTTCAGTCTGCATCTGTACATATTCCAACGAGCAACATGGGCTTGGGCTTCGGGAGTCCTGTAGAAGTACTGCCATGACGGCTGCTCTGTCGGCTGTGGCGCAGAGATTGCATGTATTGGATTTCCCATGTGCCCGGAGCCGGTTTAACGTTCTCAAGCCTTCCTTGCTTCTTGCCAGACTGTGACGTGGCAAGAAGTGTTCTCCCCAGCCCCTGGCTGCTCAACGACTCGTCACGATCCCTACGAGGATAGAACCAGATGAGGAAAAGTTGCAGGATCGCAAGAAGTACGCCGCATGCATTCGGGAGGATCAGGGGCATGCTTTGCGCGGTCAAACCCACACAAAGCCAAAGGAAGCTGCAGGAAAGTGCAAGGATGCACTGCGCAGGTGGTAGTGCCCGGGAGCACTTCTCCACAAGCACTCGGCTAACCACCGCGAGCGGGGCTCCATATGCAAGGATGTTCACTGCCATGGCCAAGTATCCCAGTTGCTGGACATGAGAGAATGACGTCGCCGCATAGACAAGGGCCAGGAAGATTGCCATAAATGCCAGGACGGTGCTGGCGGCTGCGGCTGTGCCCCATGTTTGCTCACGGCATTGACGTGCATAGAACCAGCAGCTGGTCAAACAGTAGCAGCCTGCTGTCAGTCCAATGGTGTTGCTCACCACCATTGGGGGAAGCGGGACAAAGATCGCATACCAAAGCCATAGTGCAGAGTTGACGAGCATGAGAAGCAGGTTCGATGGGCAAACATCCCTCAACGCCTTGCCCTGGGAGCGATGCACCTTCTGCACCTCCACAAGTGGTGACAGGAGAAAACAAACAGATGCTGCCACGGCCGCGTACTCAACGTAGAAGCTAAGTCCCCCAAGCATTCTGTTTCTCGTTGGCTTCTACAAGCTCTTAAAAGCTGAAGCTTGAGCTGCAGAATCGAGGTGTCAGGCGTCAGGTTATTCTTCGTGGTGTCAAAGCAACCAGTCATGCGATTCGACAGCTCATCATTCCTCTGTCGTACTTACTGGCTTTCAAGAACTCCTTCAATAAGGAGGCAAGGTGCAAAGGAACTGGAACTGCAAAACGGAACGCTACACGAATGTGTTCGGCAACAACGGCCACCATCCAAACCACCAGGCATCATGCTTGTCGTGAGCATCAACAACACGAATAAAGTCGTCAGGTCTCACTCCAGCTTTCCAGTACTCATCATTGAGTCATAGAGTCATACCCATCTTCTCACCTGTCATCTACATACTGGGTCATCATCTATTTGATCGTGTTGATCAAAGTGAGCATAGCCATATATCACACAGTGGACATTCTCGGCACTGGCACTGGAAAGGCTGTATTCCAGCTCCAGGGTCGGATCAAACTCAGTGAGTTGCCAATCTTTTCCTCGGGTGCCGGGTGCTGCATAGAGTTTTTGCTTCTCAAACCAAACTTCATAGCAGAAGCGTCGCTAGCAGATTGGTTGCTAAGCCACCCTGTAGGTTCCACCAGTCGGAATATGAAGTTTGCAGAAAAATGACTGTGCGGCATGAAACGATGCCCAAGCACACGGTATCTATACACACATCTTGCTACACACAAGCACGGTAACTTGCACTCGCTGTGTAGTGAAAATTTGGCACAACGGTTGTAATCTTCCCCTCCGGGACACCGAAGTTCTGTCTACATCTGTACAGGGGCCAACTAGCGCTGTTGGCTTGGGCTTCAGCCCGGCTGTTCAAAAGCTCCGCACCTGCGCGCTGATTGCGAGGATAGAAGCAGATGAGTAAGAGTTGTACAATCGCCAGAGGGACACCACATGCGTTTGGGACGATCATCGGCATGCTCTGCTTTTTCAGGCCAACACATAGCCAAAGGAAGCTGCTGGAAGGTGCTAGGACGCACTGCGCAGGTGGCAGAGCCCGGGAGCACTTCTCAACAAGCACTCGGCGGGCCGCTGCGAGGCTCCATATGCAAGGATGCTCACTGCCATGGCCAAGTATCCAACTTGCTGAGCATGAGAGGATGACGTCTCTGCATAGACGAGGGCCAGGAAGATTGCCATAAATGCCAGGACGGTGCTGGCGGCTGCGGCCGTGCCCCATGTCTGCTCACGGCGCTGACGTGCATAGAACCAGCAGCTGGTCAAACAGTAGCAGCATGCGGTCAGTCCAATAGTGTTGTTTAGCACCAACGGGGGAAGCGGGACACAGATCGCATACCAAAGCCAAAGCGCAGAGTTGACAAGCATGAGTAGCAAGTTCGATGGGCAGACGTCCCTCAAAGCCTCGCCCTGAGAGCGATGCACCTTCTGCACCTCCACAAGTAGTGACAGGAGAAAACAAACGGATGTTGCCACCGCGGCATGCTCAACATACAGGCTCAACACCTCAAGCATCCTGCTTCTCGCTGGCTTCTGCCAAGGCTGAACTACTGAAAATTGAGCCGTGGAAGGAGGGGGATCGCTCATGTTGCTCTGTCAAGGTCTCAACCGGCCATTACCAGGCTACCTGCATGCTGATAGGCTCGCCTGCTACAACTACTGCAAACTGCGATCAACGCATCTCTGGAGCAAGCCTTGTCATTTGTGCATGTAGAGTAGCAATCTCAACACTCCCTACACTGTGCATCCGCTCGCTTGGCACGGCATTTTCCCGCAGATGCGAGTTCGAGAGGTTTTAAGCACTCCCAACCCCGATACATGATCTCGTGAAAGAAGATAGATACTGCTGTTGCTTTTGGTGAAAAGACATACCTACCTACATGCGCGCTATGTGGAGACACAACTATTGTCAGCTGACTACCACAGACATATATATGTATATATATATATGTATATACATATATATATATATGTATATATATTATAAATACATATAAAAAACAATACATTTTTCTATACATGTAATATATATATATGTATGTATGTATGTATGTATGTATGTATGTATGTATGTATGTATAAATATATATATGTATATCTACATATATGTGGTGTTGATCTAAATTGCTTCATCCCGGAATGACCTTCTTCACGAATAAAAAATTAACTTTAGCGCCACCATCGCGGAACTTTCGCGAAGGCATTTTACATACCTTGGCAAACTTGAACTTAGAACCCTGAGCTATAAGCTATAAGCTTCGGGATGACAGGTTGTTACGGGCCTTATAATTAAGAGCCCTCGGCAGGCTTCCTAGGCGTGTTGGACAGGATTTCGTACGATCGGAAGATTGAAGAGCTTTCTTCATGGGGCTATTTCAGGGGTCGTAAGAGCTTCCTGGGAGGTGCCCCTTTCGCCAGCCACTCGCGAAATGCCCCAACAATGTCCATTGGGGGGTGGCCTTGATCTGGCTACGTCGACTTTAACGTCACTTACGCGGAACTTACACGCTAAACCCTGTACTGGAACCGATTTTTTGGATTTGTCGTTGATAAGATTGTGGGTACTTGTATGTATGTATGTATGTATGTATGTATGTATGTCACATTATGTATGTGTATATATATATATGTATGTATGTATATATATGTATACACGTTTTTACACGTGTATATGTGCGTGTGGCTTTTCCTTGACTGCTCCCACGGTGTTGAGATGGCCAGGCACCCCTCGAGTTAACCGTGCCTTTGCATCACATGCTCCCGTTGAGGAGCGGCAGGTGGAGTTAAGCAATATGGGACGGGAAGTGATGCAAAGGAAAGGACAATCTCGGGCATCAGAACAGAGTCTGGTACCAGAGCTTCAGCTGTGCAGCGGTTGCTGCAGAGGTGACTACGACTTATGTTTTGCGTCAAAGACAAGTCGATATTTGCAAGCCGGCCACAAGGAGCTTGCAGAAAAAAACATTGAATTCGCACTGCTATGCGCCGTAGGCGTGCTCTTGAAGCTGAGCCGGCACACTACACCTATCGACATACACACACCCGTTGAGGCTCGCAGCCAGCGGCATGGTTTGGAGAGGATCGAAACTCATGCGAGTCATGCCTGTGAAGAAACAAGCAAGCTTTAGTGTAGACGTTAGGCAAATGGTATCGTCCCGAAATAGAGTATCCCACCTTCCACTCTGGAGGCTTTGAGGCAGGTTCGCACGAACTCCCACCATCTACACACGTTCGTGCGAGTCTCGAGCATGGTGCATCAGTGGCGATGTGGATGCATAATTGCAAGCGCTCTTTGCAGGAAAACAAAGGCAGTCGTCTGTTCAGAACTGTCACCTGACCCTCTTGCTGGGTACTGGATATTGAGGCTCAGGATTGTTTCAGGAGCACCTACGGCTCAAAGTCTACAGGAACCTAGACGCCGCAATGGCCACGAATCCTTCGGCCGTGATGGCACTGTCAACATGGCCAAAGCATCTAACCAAAGTCCATCAGCCCCGAACGTGCATCACCCTGCGACCCGACACCAACCTCATGTCGAACGGCTTAGGCCTCACCAAGAATCGCGGAGCAATGCCAAGCATCCAAGAGAGGGGCCACTTAGCAGCAGTATGGATACAAATCTTCACCATCCTCATTAGCACAAATACCAAGCAGAGTGAAAAGTTTCTGGCATTCCCCGTTAATATGGAGGCCTTAATAACTAGGGTCTTGGGGCCCATTCTACTATAATTACAATAAGGAAGCCCCAAAACCCTATTCTAATAATTAAGGCCTTTACATTACTCGCAAACCCTTTCAGAGGCGAACCAGCGCGGCGTCATAGGCGCGCAGTGAACTCTCCGGCCCGGCGGGAGGCACCCAACCAGTCCATTTGCTCTCATGAACATTCGTATTTGGTTTCAGGGTTTAGGGGTTTAGGGTTTAGGGTTCTATTCTTGGGGGAGTGGTCAGAGAATTGGGGGCACTGGATTTAGATGCCCTCGTCAGAGCAATACACTCATAACACAGTACCCCTGCAGCTAACTGTGGAAGCGTTGACCATAGCAGCAACAATCGAGCAATCATACAAGTATTGAAGACATGAAAATCTGGGGTTTTGGGTTTGGGGTTTAAGGTTGAGGCTCGGGGCTCAGGGATGCTTCTTTGTGAACCAACCTTCTTCCTTAGCTATCCCCGTCCGGAATTCCTAGTGCCGTGGAGTTTAGGGATTCAGGCTCCGAGGCTTAGGGCTGAGTGCGACTCGCGGCCTTTCAGGTGGGCCTCCGGAAAGGCCTTGATGTCGAAAGGCATTTCTTCTCTAGCTCATGTGGATCGGACCGTTGCCTGAAAATGGTCTCCAGGCTCTTGGCTGGATAAGTGAAAATCGCCCAGGCAGTCTCGCTGCCGAACATTAAAAAAGTTCGTTGCCAAGGGCTAGGTGAAGTCCGAGCACTGGGCTGAGCCGGGCCATGTCATCATTGCATGAGGGACCGAAGGAATTGTATCTACAATCCACGAGGGGGGCACATGAAGGCATTTTTGCACCTAAAGTCCCCCAGTGCCCAGTGCCTGAACGGTTGTGGAAGATGAATTCTTCCACTTGAGTCGATCTGCTGAGCACTTCGCAGTTAGATGCGGCAACCGTTGAAGTACCTCAGCGGCCGGCTTGCAAATCAGATCCTCTTAGCTGCTTACTTCAACGAATGCTCTCCAACCTAAACCCTAAACGCAAAGCCCTAAACCCGAATCGCTTGAATCCTAAACACTGGTTCTACCTTCATCCGGGCAGCCCCTTCTCGTTGATTGTCATACCGGCCACCATGATGGCAATACCTGGGCATCCATGAAGGCTGGTGGCTGAAAGACTGCTAGTTCCACCTCTATAGCACAACCCGGAACAGCCAGGGATAAGAAGCAGACATAGCAAGAGAGTGAATAAACGAGCAAACGATGGCTCGTGATCAGTAATCGACTACAGCAGGTCGTGATCCCAGACCATTTCATCCGTGATGTGTGTCGCTCAGCCTTTGCAACAAGTCAGTAGATGTGTTTACCTCATGAGCATGTCATACGGAATCCACCTGTCAGAGGAATGGCTAAACTGCTTCTAGTCCGTCCTGGCAGCGATCTCTTGAGTAACACCCTCCTCACCCTTCCTGGTTGTGCAGGTGAGCCGCCTGCGATGATGAGGACAGCCGGCAGCACACCAAGCACCAAGACCGTCAGACAATCCTCGGAACTGAGCAGCTACCATTGCTAGCATCACAGCTACCATGGCAGTTATTCATACTTTGAGAATGTTTGAGAACTTATACAATTATATCAAATATGATCTACTCTCCTTCTTCCGCTCCGAACCTACACGCGACCGGCCCAGTTCGCCCTCCAGCAGCTAAGCACTTGGCCATCCCAGCACCTCACCTGCCGTCTACCTCTTTGCTGCTGTTGACCGTCGACTTTCCGCGAAACGTCGTTACTTCGTTTCAGGTTGCGTCGCCGTTAAAGACTTCTTGTCGGGTTACTATAGGGGTTCGGATTTTCTTTAGAGGTTCTATCCTATGCTGCTGCAGTTGTAACTGCTTGTGACTGTAACCAGTGAAGCACAAAACTACTCCACAAGCCAATGGCAAAGCTCTTGAAGCCCAGGCCACAGAGAATCTTGCAAATGAGTCTCCCAAGATTTTGCTGGCTGCTTCGCAACAACGTCGTCCACAACCTGGATGCAGATTGAGCATAGACCATGAACAAACCCTAAAACCCTGAATCCTAAACCCTAAACCCCACTATGAGAGGACACGACATCTTCGCAGAAGAACCGAACTCGGGCTTCATACGCAGTTGGAGTTCTCAGATAACAGGGTTCCTTGTTTGGGCCTCCTCCTAATAAGGATCCCAGAAATTCGGGTTCTACACATTCGGTGCCTGAACTGTTCTGAGACTCCCATCAGGTAGTTCTCTACATTGCGGTCTCTTTTGAGGGTCCTGTGCATCAGGGTGCCGTACTACTTTGGGGGGCCTACTAACGGACCCGAATTTAGAGAGATACCCACATGAGAGCCAGGTAACGACGGGGCCCTGCCCCTGCTCTACGCAGATGGCGCTGAAGCGATTTTGAGATGCAGCGCCTTGCTGGGTTAGAAACACCAGGATTAGGCTTAAGGGGTTTAGGGGTTTAGGGGTTTAGGGTTCCGATACAGGGGACTTAATAGCAGAATAAAGTTTTGGGCTTCATCGTAGTAGAATGATGTATAGGGGCTATAAGCAAGGACTACGACTGAATATTCAGACCCCTCTTCTGTGGCATGTGGGCCTCTCAGTGGTTGATCGCTTGAAGGCTTGATTGGAACTTCGGTCTTCGGCATGTCTGCACTTGATGCATCTTACGGCTAAGGGGTAGGGTTTAGGGTTTAGGGTTTTAGCATCATGGGTTAGTGTTAGGCTTAGTCTTATTCTTGATCTTCGTCTCATTGCTATTCCCAATCCTATCCCCATTTCCTATTGCTGACGTAGTTTAGCGGGTTGCTGTAAGGGATACTATTCGCTTTGGGACCTTGGGCCCGCCTTTCAATCCGATCGCACCTCGAGCACTCAGGGACGGAAGGCAAACC